GTAGAATAGCTTTTAGAGAGTGTTTTAATGACAACGACAAAATGCTACTTATATGATCAAATAAAGATTAAAGAATTTTAAGAGAAAACACATCATCTTTATCATGTTTTCGACAAGGCTATTCGAGGCGGATGGAAAACCCTGGCTAACGATTAAATTATTATCAAGTAAATATGTTGAGAGGAAAGGCAAGGCCATTTCAGTTTAAATCAATCCCTGATTCGGGAGTCCCCAAAAGAAAAGGATACAATTTGCAAATGAGTGTTCACAGGTAGATGTGAATAAAACAAAGAGTCACTTTTCAAAGTTTTATGGCAATGAGTAATTTGGAGAACCATGTCTCGCTCGCGATCGTTGTCTTGACCTTTTTATTCATTGCCGAGTAGGAAGCATGTAAATCTCGAGGCGCGGCAAAGGAACCTTTTAATTAGAACTATTCTCCCAGTCGATCGTTATATTATGCATAACGCTAAATGTAAACAGGGCTAATTGTGTTTATGATTAAAAGCTCTGGTCGAGCGTTTTAATGCTTCATGAGTTTCGTGCTTTAGGTAAATTTTGTGCCTGTTAAACACTTGCTAACGAATTTTTCTATGAATGAATGGAAGAACACATATATGAATAAACAAATGGACACGAAGCATACAGAGAGAAGCCAAGTGGGTAGGTTGACTTATTTGTGCCCGCGAGGCGACTAAGTACAGACAATACAGATAGTTCACGATTTGCCAAAACATCTGCCATTTATGGTTTTCGTGAAGTAAGTTGTTATTGAACATTATTCCTGTAGTTCTGAGAGATTTTAAAACAGATGAGAAGCCAGTAGACCTGGTTTTGAATCTTGTTATCTTACATAGAAACGGAAGACTTTGAGAGGATGACGTTCTTCGTTTTTTTTCTTTGGTTTTTTTTTTTTCATCAAAACAGCTCGAATTCATTACTGCTTCTAGAGGAACATTTCCCCCCTGTAACAGGCATTTGAGCTTCAATGTCGATTGTCACGCAATATGAATGCCGTCAGAATTTAAAATTCTTGTAGGGAAAGAATTTTATTTGGTAACCCTTTTCGTTATAAAATTTGTTTCGAGAAAAAAAAGGTGTCGAGGAACAGTCACGAACTAGACTATACATATTAACGACAACTAAAAGGAAGTCGAATAAACACCAAAAGTAAACATAGAGATGCCATAAAGTGTCATTTGGGAGATGTCCACAAAAAAACAGTTAATAACTCGTGTCGTTTTACCATCAATCGCCATAACTCGATTGAAAGGGAGTAATTGATATTATATTTGCAGCAAGGTGTTAGTTTCTCACATTTGCATTATCATAACTTTGAAAATAACGGATGCATTTCTTTCGTGAATTTTTTTTAGGCAGCCCAAAAACCGCTAGATATGAATGTTTTGTAGGCATTGCTGGTTTGATAGAGGGA